ATTTTCACGAAACTTTTTTAAATTGATTTATTTTAAAATTATAAATTTATTTAAATTGGAATTTTTTTGGGACCTGTACTCATTAATTATTTAACAAATATGAAAAATTATATAAATTTAACCTGATTTTCATTGAATTTTTATTTTCATGACTGGACTAAAGTTCATCACCTTGTCGTTCGTTTAAAGAAAACAAACTTCAGTAATAAAATTTTTTATAATAATTGCATTTTTCAAGGAATTTATTTAAAATTGTATTAAAAATATTTGAAATTCTGCGATGAAAGTAATTGAATGCGTAAATGAAATTTTATTATTTATGAAAATAATTGATTCTTTTCGTAGAATTGTAACAACCAGTTTTCTCTATAATTAAATCTGTTGATAAATTTTACGAAAATAGTAAATATTTAAAAATATTGAATTGCGAAAAACTTTTGAAAATAATTGAAATTTTGCCAAGAATTTAATTAAAATTTTTGACAATAATTGAATTCTTGAGAAGAATTTTGATATTTATCAAAATAATTGAATTTTGGAAAAGAATTTCATTAAAAATCCTTAAAATAATTGATTTTATGGGGAGAATTTTGTTGGTTATCAAGATAATTGAATTCTTTTGCAGAATTACTTAAAAATTATTGAAAATAATTGATTTCCTGGGACGAAAAAAATAAGGGAAATTTTCAAAATAGGGTACGTTTAGGGGCCAAAATTAAATAAAGGGGACTTTTAGGGAAATAGGGGACAGACCTGTAATAATAATACAACAAATTTTGTTGACTTGAATATTACAGTCGATCTTTATAAAAATTTTTCCTTAGAATAAAAAATGGGCCTAGTTTTTAATTTGAGTTTTAAAAACTAATAATCATTGATATGTGTAAGAAAATAAAATTATAAAACACTAATCTAACCCCTTGATAGATGCCGATTTTATACTTTAATTTACGGCTATAAAAAAAATTGAAATTTTTTAAATTTGCTTTTGACTAAATAAAAGAAAAATATAGTGTTTCATTCGAGCCATGGGATACGAAAAATAAGAAAAATATATGATTTTTTTATAACAGAACTGACAAATAATTTAGTTCAAAAGTCCATCTTCTCGCCTAACAATTAATTTTGTTCAATATACGAGAAGTTCGTATTACAGACATATTCAATAACAATGGAATAAAAATTTAGACACGAGAAAAAAGGGAAATAGAGTTGTCGAAATAAAATAGTGTACTCCGTTATATAGAGAACTCTATGAACACTTCTCTTATACATACACTGAAACAATATATTTCTTTTAAATAATTGATTAGGTAACTATAATTAAATGGAGCGCAAAATTATTCCTTAAATTCCAATCTTAAAAATTTCATTAGGTTGAAATTCCTACTTTTTATTCAACATAACTTTTATACAGTCTTTGTATTATTTATCTTCTTTGTCAGTTAACAGACAAAAATTCGCAAAGACGAAAAATTTGTGTTGAAAATTCTGAAAAATTATACCAGATTTTCTAGAGTTTTAATGTGTCTCATAAACTGTACTAGATATTTGTTGTCAATTGTGTTGTCATATTTTTTCATAAAATTTTGCTCCTAAATTCTATTTTTAAACTTGTTTTTAATAAAAAATTAGGATAACAAAATATTTTCAGTAATGTTAAAAATATTGTTTTATTTTTAATAATTTTATATAGGTACAGTAGATGGTCACTTTTTCTAAAAAATATTTTCTAATCATTTTTTATCTGAAAAAGCGACTTCTAATAAAATCTGTTTTTTAAAAGGTTTTTCTAACAAGTTTTGATTTCTAAAAAAAGCTTTACTAAAAACTTATGATTTGCATCATTTATATACAAAAATTTTCAAAATTAATAGGATATTTATAAAACATTTTTTTAGAAAATTTTAAATATATTCAGGAACAAAATCCCTATATCGTTTTTATTAGTTAATTACGATTTTTAATCAGATTATTTAAAAATTTGTATAATTTCTATTTTTTTATTACAATTTTTTAACGAAATCTCAAGTACCTACCTATTTTTTTCAGAGAATTAAAAAATGTTCATAAATTTTATTTTTTAATCATATTCCTATTAATTGTCATTACAAAAATTGAATATTGTTAGAAAAAAATTTTTTTTTTGAAAATTACCTTTATTAGAAAAAAAATTGTAAAATCACTTTCATTAGAAAAAAGTTTTTTTTAGAAATTCACTTTTATTAGAAAAAAAGGTTTTAGAAAATGCGAGTTCTTTTGTTTATAGCTTTTTGCTATTGCAAGTAGCAAATGATAAATTCCTTCTTCCATTAATTATTTGTAGTTATATTATTAGGTGATAATTCTTACCTTTTGATATCGGTGATAATAACTTTTGATTAGGCGGTATGTAATATGTGATGCTCCGCAACAAAACGTACATTTGTTTTCAAACATTTTAGGTTATGTTTATGTCAGTCTTTGATTTATTAAAGACTCAATTTTGATTTTTTAAATAAAATCAGAAACACTTTTTATTGAATATTTTGATCACAATGAATAAATATTAAGGATTTGAAACAAAAAGTAATTTGCATTCTAAACTGAGTTTTTTTCCTATAACAGACTTCGCACTCGATAATTAATTTTAAAAAAGTAGCAAAAAGCAGCTTTCAAACTAAAAAAAAGTAGTAAAAAATAGCTATCGAAAAATTAAACTTGACAATAGAAAAAAACTCGTTTTAGACACTTAACAAAACTGACAAAAATTACAAACCATATTTTTTATTTTCCTGACTTTTCTTAATTTTCATCAAAAATATTTACTTCTTTCTTATTATGCTAATAAATTGAATTCTTGCAACGAATTTTATTATTCATGAAAGAATTTAAATATTTATAAAAAAAATGTAATTCTTGCGAAGAATTTTATGGACATTTTTAAATAATTGATTTCTTTCGACTAATTTTATGAAAATTCTCATTTAAATAATTGAATTTCTGAGAAATTTTTATTATTCATGAAAATAATTGAATTCTTACGAAAATTGTTATACAATTTTTTTAAATAATTGAATTCTGTTTGGAAATTTTATGAAAATAGTAGATATTGAAAATCATTGGATAGAGAAAAGTTTGTAAAAATAATTAAATTTTATAAAGAATTCAATTATAATTTTTGACAATAATTGAATGTCTGTGTGGTATTTTATAAAATTTTTTTGAAAATAGTTGATTTCCTTAAAAGTATTTTATTATTTATGAAAATAATTGAATTCTTGCGAACAATTTTATTAGAATGTTTTAAAATAATTGATTTTCCAAAATGAAATTTATAACTTTTAAAAATAATTCAATTCTTGTGATGAATATTGTTATTTATTAAAATAATTGAATTTCGCAAAAAATTTTATTAAAATGCCTCAAAATAATTGAATTTTCGGAAAAAATTTTGTTATTTATCGACATAATTGAATTCTTTCGAAGAATTATTTATGTAAATAATTTAATTCTTATAGGAAGAATTTTATCAAAATTGTATGTATTTAAAATAATTGATTTCTTTCCAACAATTTTATTAAAATATTCGAAAATAATTGAATTCCTGTGAAAAATTCTAATATTTTTGTAAATAATTGAATTCTTCCAAAGAATTTAAAAAAAACATTTTTTTAAATAATTGATTTTTTTCAGGAGTTGAAATTAAATTTTTTTTTGATCAATTCCTGTAAAATTTGTTTTAAAAATAATTGAAATCCTGTGATTAATTTTATTATTTATGAAAATGATTGAATTATTAAGAAAAATTTTAATTAAATGTTTGAAAAGAATTGAATTTCTGTGAAAAATTTGGTTATGTTGGAAAATAATTGAATTCTTCATAAGAATTTTATAAACATTGTTTTAAATAATTGATTTTTTCGAAATATAATAAATTTTATGCAAATTTTATTTTGAATAATTGAATTGTTGTGGAAAAGTTTATTTGTGAAAATGAAAGAACTATTTAATTAATTTAAAATCGTATTTAAAAATAATTGAAATTCTTTGATGAGTTTTATTATTCATGAAAATAATTGAATTCTCACTTAGAATTTTATTAAAATTTTAAAAAAAATTGAATTTCCATGAAAAATGTTATTATTAGTGAAATTAATTGAATTACTTTGAAGAATTGTATAAAAAATTTGTTAAATAATTGATTTTTTCGAAATTTTTTTGAAAAATGCTATTTTAAATTAATTGAATCCCTTGGAAATTTTATTATTTATGAAAATAATTGAATTTTGGAATAGTAACATAACGTTAAAAAACTTGTAAATAGTAGGTTTTAGTAGATGAGTGCGAAGCCTGTGGAGTAAATACATTTTTATTCATTGTCTGAATGTTTTCGTTTTATTTGCCTTTATAATATAATTTATTTGAAATACTTATATTATTATTACTATTATTAGTATTATTAAAATAATGTTTAAATTATTTTATTTGAAAATACGAAAATATCTCTTATGTTAAATTTCAACTAATTTATTTTTAATACAAATTTTATAAAAGTAAATGTAAAAAGAATACATTGTTAATTAAATAAGAATTTTAATATTTAAAACTTAAACCATTGGAATTTATATTCTTGTTCACAAAATATTAATATATTTTTTACATTTCAATTAATAGTAATTTTTTTCTAATTAGTCACAATTAAAAATATAAACAAGATTCAATTTTATAAATAAAACGTGAAACTGAGTGTTAAATTAATACTTGAAAAGTGTCAATATTTTGAAACCGTAGAGGCTCTTAAGAAAGGTTAAGTATAACTATAAATGCGAAAGAAATATTTTAAGGATAACATTATATTATCTTATAACTTAAATAATCTTTCTAGTAATTAACAAACATTATAAATTATCATATAATTAAAAATTAAAGTCAACAATTTTTTATTTGAAACATTGATATTAATAAAATAAAAATTCTCAAAGCAATAACACGTCAAGTAGGATAAAAATAATATTTACCTTGATCAATTAAACGAAGTGCATTTGGCCACTTATGAGAATCAATCTCCAATTTTTCCTGTAATAATTCACGCACATATTCTCCAGTTTTATCAACTTGAGAATCTTTATCATCTTTATCCGAAAGACTCCTCGGTTTGTCGGCATTATCATCACGATATTTATACTCTCCGTTGCTTGACCTGTCAGTCATGATTTTAGCTGTGATCTTTAATTCACTGTTCAACACTGATATTAAGATTATTATTTGTTTTGAATTGTTCACAAAATCAGCAAAAGTCGGCTACAAGTCAATGACGCGGCTTCGCACAAACCACAAGGCTCACTTACAATGGCGGGCAGGACAGGCGCAGTGTACGAAAATTCTCCTGTGACTTGCGACTCGATAAGTAGAAATAGACGCGGACAGCGCATCTAGCGGTAGGGTTCAAACTAAAGTAGTGCAAAATTTTAAAATATCCAATATTCCAATGATTCCAATTCAACACAAATCATCCATTCGCTGTTAATTTGACAAGAGTATAACGAACTTTTAACATAACCTCAAAGTAAAAAGTGTCTTTTAACGCAAATTAAACAAAATCAAGTTGTTTCAATTTACATTTGCAATAATTTTACAAATTTTTTATAAATAATAATTATACATTATGATTCTCCATGAAGTGGTAAGTTTTTTTACTTCAGTAACTATTTTTGAAGAAAAAAATTTTTTTGGAATATTTCCCATACGTAGAACTTTTTAATTAAGCTTGAAAATAATTATAAGCTGTAAAAATTAATAAAATCAAACTAAGTTTACAGAATATTAAAGAGACTTGCCTATCCTAAATAACATCAGGGTTACAAAAATTTAATTTTAATTTTCCCTGATTTCCAGAAAAAATTTTGACTTTTTCCCTGACCCTAAAGAATATTCTGATTTATTCTAAAAATGATTAGATACTGAAAAAATGTTTCAATATACATTTATTTACAAATTTCTTTTATTCTAAAATTATATGAAAACATAAATGACTTCTATTTTAAATAAATATAGTTATTCGTTGTTATTTTTCCTTAGAAATCAAGATTTAAAAAAATTCCAAATTCAAATCTTTTAAAATTCTATAACTTATAAAAATATTATTATATAAAACATGACGAAGTAATAAAATAATTTTTTTTGAGAATTTCAAAAAAAATTAATTCAACAGAATTGTTAGTTAAAAGTATAAAAAATTCAGATTTTCAAAGATTTTAATTTAAAAACTTTCCAAAATTCAATTTATTTCTAAAAATGCACACTATAATACTCTTTTTAATATTCAATTATTATCTAAAATTTTAACTGAAATTCATTTTTAAATCGATTTTTATTAGAAAATCCTATACAAGAATTCAATTATTTAAATACAGAAATAAATAATTTATTGAATAATTGAATGTTTCTCAAAATTAAATTCTTATAAAGAATTTTATCAACAAATTTTTAAATAATTTATTGAATTCTTTTCACGAATTTTAATATAAACTTTTCAAGAATAATTAAATTTTTCGAGAAATTTGATTAAAATTGAAATAATTAATTTCATAAATAAACAATTTTATTATTTAAGAAAATAATTGAGTTTTATAGAAAATTTTTATTATTTATATATATAGTAGATAACTAAAATTTTGACAAGAATATTATAAAAATTTTTTAGCATAATTGAAAGTTTGCGATGACTTTTATTATTTATGAAAATCATTGAATTGATGAATAATTTTAAAAATAATTGATATTTTGCAAAGATTCTTATTAAATTTTTTTCGAAAATTATTGAATTTTGGAGAAGAATTTTATTATTGATAAAAGTAATTTAAATTTTACTAGAATTCAATTTTTTCTTATAGTGTTCTTAACTAATTCTTTTATAAATCAATTACTTCTAATTATAAATTCATCCAAATTAAAATTTTATAAGATATTTCAAATTAAACCCCATTTGAAGTTCATTTATTTATCAAAATTTGTAAACGCAACTCTTTTAAAATTCAATGAATCTATCTATATCTATCTATCTATATTAATAAAATCAATGAAGCTGAAACTGGCACCCAGTTATCAGCAACCAGTTAATTTTTAAAAAATTTTGTGTTGGCAATAAAACAAAAGAAAACCAACGTCAGGCGCTCAGCTGGCTCTAACGGAATGCAAACAATTCAATTAAAATTCAAAAATAAAATAAATATCATTAGCAAATACAAATAATATATGATTATTATTTATATAATTACATTATTATATAAATAATAAATAATTGTAGTTTATAAGAAATATTAATATTGTATAATAATATAAATAAATAACTTTATTATTTTCAGGATAAAATAAGTTTGAAAATATACAAAAAATTTCTATTTTTTTCCTTGACTAACAATAAATAGTAAACTATATTTTCTTAAGCGTCTGGGAGAAGAATAAAGTAGAAAAATCATATTTGGTTAGAAGACGCAAACGTTGGTTGACAAGAAATGAATTTTTTCTGGAAAAAATTGGAAAATTTTTTTAAAAAATTTCTAATTTTTTCCTTGACTAAAAATAAGTGGTGCACTATTTTCTCCTATACTTCTGGGAGTAGAATAAAGTAGAAAAATTATATTTGGTTAGATGACGCGAACATTGGTTGACAAAAAATCAATTTTTTCTGAAAAAAGTTGGAAAAAATTATTTAAAAAATTTCTAATTTTTTCCTTGACTAAAAATAAGTGGTGCACTATTTTTTTCTACACTTCTGGGAGTAGAATAAAGTAGAAAAATCATATTTGGTTAGAAGACGCGAACATTGGTTGGCAAAAAATCAAATTTTTCTAAAAAAAATTGGAAAAAATTATTTTAAAAATTTCTAATTTTTTCCTTGACTAAAAATAAGTGGTGCACTATTTTCTCCTATACTTCTGGGAGTAGAATAAAGTAGAAAAATTATATTTGGTTAGAAGACGCGAACATTTATTGGCAAAAAATCAATTTTTTCTGAAAATAATTGGAAAAAATTATTTAAAAAATTTCTAATTTTTTCCTTAAACTAAATGCAAGTGGTGCACTATTTTTTCCTATACTTCTGGGAGTAGAATAAAGTAGAAAAATCATATTTAGTTAGAAGACGCGAAAATTGGTTGGCAAAAAATCAATTTTTTCTGAAAAAAATTGGAAAAATTTTATTAAAAAACTTCTAATTTTTTCCTTGACTAAAAATAAGTGGTGCACTATTTTCTCCTTTACTTCTGGGAGTAGAATAAAGTAGAAAAATCATATTTGGTTAGAAGGAAAAATTTAGAAATTTTTTTAAAAAAATTTTCCAATTTTTTCCAGAAAAAATTCATTTTTTGTCAACCAACGTTTGCGTCTTCTAACCAAATATGATTTTTCTACTTTATTCTTCTCCCAGACGCTTAAGAAAATATAGTTTACTATTTATTGTTAGTCAAGGAAAAAAATAGAAATTTTTTGTATATTTTCAAACTTATTTTATCCTGAAAATAATAAAGTTATTTATTTATATTATTATACAATATTAATATTTCTTATAAACTACAATTATTTATTATTTATATAATAATGTAATTATATAAATAATAATCATATATTATTTGTATTTGCTAATGATATTTATTTTATTTTTGAATTTTAATTGAATTGTTTTCATTCCGTTAGAGCCAGCTGAGCGCCTGACGTTGGTTTTCTTTTGTTTTATTGCCAACACAAAATTTTTTAAAAATTAACTGGTTGCTGATAACTGGGTGCCAGTTTCAGCTTCATATAAAATCAGACTTTTGTCTGTACATTGCACGAAATTAATTTTTAATAGCATAATTTATTTATTTGAACAACGGAGAATCCAAAAATGGTAATAAAAAATTTCCTTTCTGTATGTATGTATGTATGTATGTATGTATGTATGTATGTATGTATGTATGTATGTATGTATGTGTGTATGTATATATATGTATGTCCGCAAAATTTTGTTCGCGTATAACTTGAAAACGTCTTGACCGATTGAAGTAAAATTTGGCAATCTCTTAGGTATTGGTCTAACTTAAAATATTAGCTATATTTGATGAAAAAATATTAAGCTAAACAAAAGTTATGAATTTTTCAAAAAATTCAAAAAAAATTTTTTTTTTAATTTTTGCAGATTGGCATACATTTTTTAATTTATTAATAATACAAATGATTATAAAGATATATAACAATAAATTGAATTAAAAAATAATATTAATATGAAAAAAATTATAAATTTTCCAAAAAATTCGAAATTTTTTTTAAAATTTTGATAGATTGCTGTAAATTAATCAGTTATGACTTTTATAAGATATATATATATATACAATAAATTTACAGATTTTAAACATATTAATTAGAACGGGAGGTATTCAATTTTTTCAAAAAATTAAAAAAATGGAAAATTTCCAAATTTTATATTTTTTATTGTATATCTTTTAAACTTTCTGTAATTAAATATTACATGTTATTTGGTCATATTTTAGCATTATTTTGAAAAAAATACTGTCCTATAACTATAAGATGTAAGTATAAGTATAAAAATGTTTTTAATATAAAAAAATTGAAAAATTATAATTGACAGACCAATTACTATCAAGCTTCATTCAGTAGTATTTTTAAGGTCTCTGATAAACTTTTGACTTCAAAATATAATGGAATTTAGAATTATTTGTTTATCCAATTAATCAACAATTTTCAATTCCAAAAATTTCGAAAATATTAAAAATGGAGATTTTTTATGATAAAATTGATACTGGAGAAATTCAAGAATACCTGTGATACGATACTTGCATTATGCTACTGGGAAAGAACTTAGATATTAAAAAGTTTTGTTATTTTAATTCTTGATTTAACTTTTAGGGATGTTTTGAGCATTATGTAAAGGCAAAAGTTAAACAAGGTGTCTATTATTATTTTTGTTTAACAAACTATCCGGTTTTTCCCAGCTTTGTCCAAATTTTTACAGGTGTATCTTTTCTCATCAAATATAAATTTTCTTGATAAGAATTAACATTAAATAAATCTACAAATGGCTACGAAAATTCACTTATTTTATGAAAATACTCTTCGACGGGTTTTTGTTTTTACTAATACTTTTAACAGGGGTTCTACCAACTGGAAAAACGGGAAATATGCAGGAATTTAATTTAATCGGGAAAACTGTGAATTCAGCCTGCAATATAGGTCTTATTTTAGATTTTAGCAATTATGATACAATTAGTTCGAATTTGACTTCACTATAACTCCAAAAACTGGTGGAAATTTTGGATTAACTTATAATACAATAATTAAATTTCTACAAATAATTGACAAAACATTGTTCTCTGCATTT